AGGGAATTTTGCAGAGTTTTTCGCTTTAAGACCCTCCCATCGGACGAGGAGGGAGGGTCCGACCAGCCCGTCGCCTCGCGAGTGGCTTTTCCAAGTGGTGCGGACAGCCGTGGACGGAGCGGTTCCCCCCCACCCGCAATCATGGAAGGCTCGTAAGCAGCTGCTCGCCCCCCTCCCTCGCCTATTAATAATCAGTCATCAATAACCAATAAACACGCACATGCACTTGACTCCTGTGGCTTTCTAGCAATCTGCAGGGCAGTCGCTTTAAGAATACCCAGACCCTCTTTTCTTAATTTTCACCTCGTCCCCCTGCTTCCGTGTCCTCGCCTTTTTGCAGCGCGGGTCATTTGGAGGCATTAAGGGAAGGGGCGGGAGAGTCATGCCTAAGATCGCGGCACTCAGAGGGGACCGAACAAGATCGGGATCCTCCGACAGCTCTCTCCGGCGGGTCGCAGTAGCCTTCTTGCTTCGGGAGCTTGCTACCGTAATAGATGTAATACAGCGGCATCTCAATCATAGCCCTACTAAGCCTTTGGCAGGGGCGCTGCACATCAGTCGAATGGAGCTCCTTTTTAACCCCACGCTGTTCAGTGGGCTTTCTCTTGTGTAAGCGTCCGCAGGTTCGCAGTTACAAACTTCCAGATTCCAAATTTACCCTGAGCTGAGCTTGCTTGCTGGTTATTTTATGGATGCGCCCGTGGTCAGCGGTATCGCAATGGGGTTTGCTATTCCAGGACCTTCATTTGGAGGATGTTTTTATGCAACTTTCAGTGATCAGCCATAAAACTAGCTAGCGGGGCTCTTACTGGGAAGTTACTACTCCTTCCAGAAACAACACACTTTCAGTTCACGTCTAAGCCTCCTGGTATAACAACTTTTCCACTTTTATTACTCTGATCTGTGGTTACTAATTGCTAAAATGGCAGTCTGATGAAGTGGCCACCGATAACATCACAATAGGGAACCCTTTTAATCGTAATTGCAATTTTTATTTTGTACATGTCAATATTAGGTTAACCCTGGTGGAATCTTCCTGGGTGGCCTGCAAGTATCAAAATACTAATTCCACTAAAAATGCAGCTTCGTATGGACTGATCAGGCTACTGGGGGAAACAGGATAGGATGTACAATATAACCGAATAGATGCTAGTGAATTAATACAAGTTGCAGATTTCAGAGGGATATGTTTAATACGAGGTGTTAATATTTTGCAGAGCATGCATGTGAACGTTTTACAGTGTGTGTATGTGAGTGCAGCCTTGTGTAATCTTCACTTTGCACCATCCCGCTGCAGCTACCACACTCCTTCCAGGGAAGCGTATCGTGCAGCAATGGTGCTCTCTGGAGCTGGTGATGCCCTTGGATATCGCAACCAGCGCTGGGAATACTGTACTTCAGGGCCCCAGATCCACCAAGAGCTCCAGGAAATGGGGGGGCTTAGCAAGATCCGTGTAGCCCTCCCTGATTGGCCAGTCAGTGATGACACTGTGCTGCACCTGGCGACTGCTGAGGCCCTGGCCACAGGTGAGTTGTCGGGAGCAATGGGAAGCCTTGTAGTCTTGTTTCACACACTCTGGTTCCTCTCCAAAATAACACTGCTCTCATGTGGTGCTTTATAGAGGTTGGTGGTTTATACAACTTAGTAAGTACTCTCGGTAAAATGTTCCCGGGTGCATCTGCCTCCTATGTTAGATGGCCCTCCCAGACTTATCCATAGTAATAAAACTCCAGCTCTTAAGCTAGCAGTGGGCAACAGATCACCAGTTTAATTTCCAGTTGTAGCTGATGGCAACGCTTGGCTGAAAGCAGGGTCCGAGCTGGTTAGTACTCTGATGGGCAGACAGCAGGAAGTACTAGGGCTATAGGCTAGATGACTGGAAGTCCAGAGAACTTCCCAGAAGATGATAATGGCAAAGCACTCCTGTACTGTTGCCAAGAAATCAACTTGAACATGGACATGAACCCAACAGAAACAGCAGCTACCTTGGATGGATTGGAGTATCTGGATCACATGACCTAAATAGATCTTCCTGGGACATTGGCATGCAGCTGGTGCCACAAGGCTCCTGCATCTAGATTTTGCAACTATGTTTTCATTATTTTTTTTTTAGCTCTTTATTCAATTTGTATAGCTGCCTATCTCACATTTGTGACTCTGGGTGGCTCCCATAATTTTGGGATACTCATGCTGTTGAGGTGATCTATTCAACATGGCGTTGAGCTATGGTGGCTTGCATTCTTCGCAGTGATGGCACCAGCGTTCTCAACAACCTTTCCCGATTTGATGTAGTAAAATTTGGTTGCCCTACAAGTTTCACCTCTACAGTCTGCATTGTCAAACAAGATACATACTACCGGAGAAAGAATCCTTCAGAATGTCTCTAGATGTAGGAGTTTTGAGTAAGCTCCTATTGGTAATAAAGTGCATCAACCACAGCCTTGGGTGGAAGAGGAGGACAATAGCAAAAGAGATTCCAGGCTCAAGTTTAAAAACAAAAATTGTTCTCTTGTGTTTCCCATCTTCTTTGCACAGGGAAGACTGGGGAGCCCTTGTTCCAGGAGCTGGCAAGACGTTACGTCGAAGCTATGAAAGATATGGAGGGGAGGAAGCCTGGACCCACCAGCATTCTGGGTAACACACCACTGTTCTCTTTTGCAAGTTTAAGTAATCAGATTCTGCTGCAGAAGAATTCTTTGAGGCTTGAAGTTAGAAAATATTGCTTTTTTCCAGTTGATTTCGGTATTGGGATGCAAAAAATCTATATTCACATGAGGAGGATTTTCCCCCATGACACTTTATTAAGGTTTTTTTTCCTGTTAATCTTTTTCTCTCTTTCTTAAGAGACTGAAAGAGCTGCTCACGTAATGGGATTAACCTCTTTGTATCTAAGTTTCCTTCTCCAATCTGGTTACTCTAATAATAAAATATTTTGTTCTAATAGCTCTTTTTTTTTAAGGCCTAAACATTGCATCTTTTGGAAAGTTTAACAACAACCCTGACAGGCAGACCACTGTGACTATCTTCACATTGCAAATGCCACTATACGTTGTGTTGTACTGAAGATACAAGACTAGCAGACCTTTCAGCTAGTCTAGTTTTTTTCTTTAAAAAAGGTGTATGAGAAATTCCGGGAATGCTCTATTGTAGTAAGATACAATAATAGAATCTTGAAAACCTATTAGACTTTCTCTCTACACCATCTTATACCAAATAAAATTAAGGTGGGCTTATTCTGAGTTTCTCACACTTTCTTCTTTTTCAGGACTACAGTGGCTCAGTCAACCCTTACTCCCTTAATAGCTTGCTCATTCCTTCCTCATCCCCAAAGTCAGCTCTAAATTCCTTTACAGTGAGAGCAACTGACGGCCTAAGGCCACACAGCAAGTGTACAATAGAAACTCTAACTGAACTACAGGCTTCCTTTATCACCACTTGGAGACATTACACCACTGGTGAAAACCACCAGTTACACCAACCACATTACGGATGACAATTGTATGTTGTTCACTTTCAATTTCAGGAAGGGAAAAAAAACAGTACAGTAGTTAAAAAAGTAGTAGTCAAATTCCTTTCACCTCACACAAGGCTTCCACTTTAGATCAAAGCCTCTGTTGTTTCATTTTATCCAGGACAAAGGATGTGTGTAACTGAAAATCTGAGGTCATTTGGGCTGTAAAGATCTCAATGTGCTCTTCTTTCCCCACCTGCCTATAGGAACATCTCAGTTACATCCAGGAGAACCAGGTGGATATCGCATTCCCTTCAACCCTAACGCAACTGGTTGTGGTGCAGCTATGAGATCCATGTGCATTGGGCTTAGGTAATACATGATGGGGTAGAGAGAAGAAAAACGTACAAAGCAGGGTTAACGGAATGATCAAAGGCCAACACAACTCCATCCTGATTCCCAACCAATATCTTTTCCAGGTATCCTCACCCCTCTGATCTCAACACCTTGATCCAAGTCAGCATAGAAAGCGGAAGAATGACGCATCATCACCCCACAGGTAAAGGGATATATGGGGCCATTGTCACATGATTGGCTGACCTCAAGGCTTAGGGAAAGCAGAAAAGATTATGCTTATGCTTATATTTGTACAATATAGAAAAATTGCCCTGGGCCTGGGCCTGCAGTAGTGATACATGTAGGCTGGGCTGGCTTCTCTCCATGTAGCAGGATGGGGTGGTGGAGTTCTGAAGCAGTAAATTGGGCTTTTTTGATGTGCAGGGGGAGGATCCTGTTGTGTTGTTAAGAGTTTTCTGAGGTTTGGGGTTGCAAATGTTTCATTACCATACTAGGTAACATCATCAGTGCAGAAGAAAGGGGGCTGTTGGCAAGGATTGTACGTATCTTTCTCTCCTGTCAGGGAAGTGTGTGCTCGAGTGAGAGATTCTTGTGAGTAGTAGTTAATTTGCACGGGAATGAAGTCTTTGGTTGTATCTTTTGATCACTCTACACTTTAGTCTCTCTGTTTGTTGATCCTATTTCTGAATGCTTTCCTGAGTTTGAAGCTTCTTGTAGTGATAATAGAAGAACAGCTGAGTTCTTTGTCTGCAGCGCGTAGCATGCCAAAATGTCCTGCTACATTTTGAGATGGGGAAATAAGATGTTTTCATCCTGATTGGCAATGGATTGTTTCATCTGTGATTCTTCATTTTCTGAAACTATTAACAAACATCTTGAAAGCCATTGAATTGTTTAGGTGGAGTTGGGAGAGTGTAAATGTGTTGATGATCCTGGTATTCTCCATGATTTCCCACTAATTTAAACTGAGTGAAAACTTCCTAAAAGAAACAGTGCGGCTTTCCTGTGGTCAAAATGGCATGTTTGTGTTGAAACCTGCAAGAGGATCATTTTTAATAATTTTTAAAAAAATTTCCTTCAGATCCTTGCCTAGACCATAAAGATACTATAGCTCAGCTTAAATCTAACTGGAAGGGTTTTTGTGAGATTAAAATGGGGAAATCCCAAGGAATGCTGTCTTAAAAATTGCCCGTGAGCTATCTATTTGTAACTGTGGCCCCCACAGTTTGTGCAAATACCTGTCAATCAGTTACCTGCTAGTTCAGTCATCAGTCTGGCCCTCCCTCCAGTTGGTTCATATGTTGTATTTTAAAAATTAAAACACCACAGGCATGTTCATTATTCTTCACCTTACTGGGCCATTGGCAAACATTTTCAGAACAGTTGCCATACTAAGGACCAGTTTTAGCAAGCTAAACATGAGTGATTGTTGTTATGTTGATGACATCACAAATATTGTACAATAGGTACTTTCCATATCTACCATCCCTGATACAATCTGAATGGGATTTCTAAAACATATTGGATCAAACCACTTCCCCCCAAATTATTACTGGAAAAAATTCTGCTTGAGCCTAACCCTAATATGTAAGGTCCCAGGAAGGCCAGACAATTTCTACATGAATCATCTTCCAGAAAATTCAGAACCCTTCATCACTTGTGCAATAGGGAAATTCTGTGTTCCCATAATGAAAATAAGGCATAACTAGTCTCAGGAATACAAGAATAACCACTTCTGTTTTATTCATCAGTTCAGGTTTATTATGTGTTAGTTTTCTTGTTTTAGGTAATATGTATTTTTACTTCATAGATTGTAATATTTTACATGTATTCTTGCACTGTTAACATACCATTATAGTAGCATGTTATAGTTTCATGGAGAACATCTATCTTATCTAGTTTGTTTATTTTATTAATCAAATTCATACACCGACCATCTCACTATGTGGTCACTAGGAGTTGAAAACAACTTGATGGCACATAATCAAATCATAGCAGCATATGTTACACTTTTATTATAGAGACTCCTATATTTTATCTCACCCATTTGATTTGACTTTTGTGTTGTATATTTTGCTGGTCGTTGACTGAATAAAGTTGTTATCCAGGCCTTACCCTTGGAAGCCTTGGGTAACTTTCAGTAATCTAATTTGTAGAATGACTGAGAAGAAGAAAAAAAGTGAGGGGAGATATAGCGTCCTTTCTCCACTTCCTTTGTTGTAGGCTACCTGGGGGCTCTGGCCTCGGCCCTCTTCACTGCGTATGCTGTACAGGGCCTGCCCCTGGAGCTCTGGGGATCCGGATTGCTGAAGACTCTGCCCCTTGCGCTGGAGTACGTTCAGGCTGTTGGGGTCGAGAGTGAAGCCAGCGTGGGAGCCTGGACCTATTTCCAAGAAAAGTGGGAATGGTAAGTAGTTTGGACAAGAGGAGAACAAGGATCGCAGGGCTTGTGGGTTAAAGCCGGAAGCAATATAAAGATTAATTCAATACAGTTTGAAGAACTATTTTATTCAGGATCTACTTTCCTAATTTCTGGATCTCTTTCTGCATTTCCAAGGCTGGAAGTGGTCAATTAGTCCATCAAATCCAAACATCTCTCACTGAAGGAATCCAAACTGTAGTTAAATGTCCAACCCCTGCTTGAACTCATCCTGTGATGGAGAGCTCCCCCCCTTCCTCCATAATTGAATCAAACAGCTCCTACCCAATTTTCAATCAGATCTACCTTCATGTAAGTTAAGACCATTATTCTGTGCTCTGTTCTCTGGGATGATAAAGAACAGATCTTGATCTCCTTCAGGCCTTTGAAAAATGATATCATACTTCCCTCTTTGTCATCTTTTCTTATCTTTTTTCCAGCGTCACACAATTACCTTCACTGCCTTTCTGTTGCAGTGTTACTGAATCTTTCTTAAAATGTGACACCCAAGAACTGATGATAGCATTCACTGTGAAGTCTGATCATTATGGAATATAATGGAACTATCTATTATTTCCCCTGATGGGGATACAACTATTAATGCAGGCTAAAATGGCTTTTTCTGTTTCAGCAACCATCACAGTGCTGACTCATACTCAACTTGTGAACAACTACAATTCCTTAAGTGCTATCCTTCTCTTTTCCTTTTCCTTTTCCTTTTTCCTTTTCCTAAGGGAAATACTTTGCATTTGGTTAGTATTAAAGTTTCTTCTCCTATTTTCAGCTATCTCTTTATCTATCAAGATCATTATGAATTCTGTTTCTGTCTTCTAGTGTATTAACTACCGTATCCCAACCCGTTTATGGCAGCTACCATTTGGATGAGTGTTGGCTTCCTCTGTCATAGGCATCTTTTTTTAACCATGTGATACCATCGTCATGCAAAGTGCATTGTGATGTCACAATATGAGCTCTGCCTTTTTGTACTTCCATCATGACTAGCATGGAAGGGATGGGGTTTGCATCACAACATTGTGACACATGTTTTGTCACTACTCACCTGCTGCAGAGACTGATGCCACTAGTTCACAATCATTAATGGAAATATAGAAGAGTAGTGAGCCCAAGACCAAACCCTTTGGCATCCAACTTCATAGCTGATTCCAGTCCAAGGAGGAAGTGATGATGAACAATTTTTAAATATGGTTTCAAGCCGTCTGTGGATCTCCGTAATAGACACGCTATCTAGCCCGCAGTTAACAAGCCTGTTAAAATGTAAATGTATATTTGAATAGTTTTAATCCCTCTTCCTTGGTTATGTACTATCTACAGTAGTGTATTTAAATTAAAGGACATGTTAAAGAGTTACATTTTGTCTAAGAACTTAACAACAACAAAAGCAAAATTCAAACATTTCAGAAAAATGCGAGCTCTGATCTGAGGAAATGTTCTCAGTCCTGGTAAGATTTGTAGGATAGGGCTGAATGATAAGATTAAAATTTACCATTAAAAAAGTATAAAGTCTTTTCATTCATTTTTATGTTTTTCTGTCATCTATGAAGGATCTCATGGCCAGATGCGCAGTTGACCCAGAGAAGGAGTTATTCTCTTAATTCTGTTACTGAACAAGGACTAGTTTGCAGTAGCCAAACTCAGTAACCATTAGAGCCACTGGCTCTTACTGATAACTTAACACTGTTGGTGTTTTCTTCAATCCAAGCTTCTCCCCTTCCTCCATATTGCACTTGCAGATGACTTCTGGTGCATCAATCCTGGTCCTTTTTTTTTAATCTCTTCATGGCCTTCAGTATCATCAATCAAGTCTCCTTTCTGGACAGGCTTCAAGGAGGCATGGTGTTTTGTTGGTTCTCTTCCTTCCTCTGGGATTGTTCGAACTGGCATGGATGGGGGGAGAGATCTCACCCTAGACCTCTAACACCCTAGCAAGATTGTTCAGGGCTCTATGCTCCCTCTGCTCCTATTTAACATTTACTTGTGGCTGCTGGGTGAGGTCATCTACCAGCACAGGGTCAGATTTCTTCAGTATGCTGATGATAACACAAAAGGATCTTTACCCTTGGCTAAGCAAGTGATGCTTTCAAAATTCTTTTCCAGTGTCTGGAGGCCGTAGGAGGCTAACTCAGTCAAGACTGAATAGCTGTGGATTTGTGGGTCCCCCAGTTCAGAGGACCTTCCATCTTTAGTTCTAGATGCAGGGCACTCCCCCAAACAGAATTTGTGCAATGTTTGGGAGTCCTCCTGCTGGAACAGCAGATAGTAGTTGCAGCCAAGAGACCCTTTGCATAATCATCTTGTGTGCCAATTGTGGCCATTCCTGGATCAGAAGGCCTTGCTTATAGTCACGCATGTCTTGGTTGCTCCTGTTTGGACTGTTGCAATGTGCTTTACATGTGGCTACCCTTGAAGACCATCTAGAAGCAGCTATTAGAATGTGGTGGCATGGGTAGTTACCAATGCGTCACAGTATGCCCATATAACATTACTACTTCTCAAGCTGCACCAGCTCCCTAGAAGCTTTCAGAAACAATTCAAGGTGCTGGTTACCATCTACAAAGCCCTTCTAAAGCCAGTCTCCAGTTGTCTCTGTCTGCCCCAGGAGATCCAGGAGGGTGGGCACACTCCAGCTCCCTTCTAGGAATCATAGTCATTTAGTGGGACCCAGGAAGTGTGTCTTCTGTGTCACAGCAACACCTGTCCTTTGGAACAGCATATTCTTCCCTCCATGATCCAGATGTCTCTGAGCCCGTTAGCTTTCCATACCTGGTTTTTTTCCCCAAGCATTGGGCCAGAATGTTGAAAGGCCCTGCCTGGGAATGATTTTGGGATTGGAGTAGGTTTACAATTTGTGCTATATTGTGCTGTGCTTTTGTGTTTTGGTTGCTTTGTTTTTAGCCCTATGTCACCCTCCCAGAATCCCTACTTGTGAGCTGGGCAGCCATATAAATCATTTAAGTGAAATAAATAAATTTAACTAAAATGTCCCACATTTAGGTACCTCTCAGAACGGGGTCTCATCGATGGTCGGGGCCCAGTTCGATTTCCTTCTACCTACGGTCCTGCTGAGCGGGATATCATCTACAAAACCTTCAGCTTGGATGGGTGGGCCGGGCGGAGCGGCCACGATGCCCCCATGATCGCCTATGATGCCCTGCTGGGTGCGGGGAACAGCTGGGAGCAGCTCTGTGGACGGTCCATGTTCCATGGTGGTGAGTCAGGAGCCAAATGACAACCGTCCCCTATAAAATGCTTGATCCTAGAACTAGCAGCCACTCGTATTTTTTCTGTATGTTTCTCTTGTCCCACAGGGGACAGTGACTCCACAGGGGTGATCGCGGCATGCTGTTGGGGCCTTGCATATGGTCTCAGAGGCATCCCAGATGGAAACCACATGGAGCTGGAATACCGAGACAGGATGGTGTCTGCGGCCGACTCTCTCTATCGCCTTGCGTGGGAGCAGGTGCCTGCTTGAGAAGCCGTTCCCATATCTACCATCCTTGATTCCTAGGAAGGCATGAGCTGAAGACTCACAATAGATTGAAAACTGCTGCTTTCAAAATAAATTGAAGCTGTATTCTGCCTCAGTTTTGTGGGCTGGAGGAGAGATCTGTGCCAAATTCCTGAGATCCTATATAGGTAGTCCTCGACTTATGATGACAATTGGGACCGGAATTTCCTTCGCTAACCAATGCAGTCATAAAACGCAACTGCATCGCTTAGCAATAGCAATCCCTGCAGTCCTGGTTGCCATTGTTAACTGAATCCCACAGTTGTCAGGTGAGGCAGCTTCCTGCCAGCTTCCCACAACCAAAGTCAGTGGGGATGCAGCAGGAAGTTGCAAGTCCCAGGCTGGCAGGCAAGTATGTGACTACTGCTGGTTGGGGAAATGAGTGAGGGGGATTGCAGGGGAGGGTCAGGGAGGGTGTGTAAAGGTTCAAGGGGGTGTGCAAGAGGTGCCAGATGGGTCGAGGGTGTGCAGGGTATAACGCGGGTCAGGGAGGGTGTGCAGGGGTGCATGAGTGGCTGGTGCAGCACAAGTGCAGGGGGGCTGGGAAGGGTGCACGGGTGGGGGAGACTTACCCCAGTGACTTGCGATCTTCCCTACTGGCTTCCCTATTGACTTTCTGGAGAAGCTGACGGAAGGTTGCAATGGCAATCACATGATTGTGGGGTGCCTGGCAATTGGTCATAAGTGCAAACAGGTTACCAAGTGCCCAGATTGCGATCATGTGACCACAGGGGTGCTGGGACAGCCGTAACTCCAAGGACCAGTTGTAACCACCATTTGTTCAGCACTATTGTTAACTTCAGTCGCTGAACAAATTGTCGTAAATCGAGAACTACCAGTATAGAGGTGTCCAGAGGGAGGTGATTAAAAAAAAGTCAAGGTGGCAGCCAGAAACGTGATTGAAGTCCCACCTTTTTTGTGATAGAGCTTTGCATCGTTAGGGCTGCCATCCTGACTCTATTAACCTGTCTGTGGACACCCCTGACCCTATAGGTCAACTATTCCCTTTGGCTTGAGAGATTATCCACCTAACAAGAAAGAGCATGGTGATTTTGCAGAGGAATGTGCATTATATATTTCTAGAAGTGGCACTTTATTATTTCACATGTTCTACGGCTAAGCCGAGCCACTGGGGGTAGAAATAATTCCTAGGCTTAAATCCTCAGCAGTGCTTGAAGAATCACTGAGCCCCTCCATGCAAGACAAACCACTGTTCATAGAAGATTGACCTGGTCTCCTGCTGAAATTATGGAAGCAATATTTGTTTGAAATGCAGGATAAATATATAATTACATGATTGTAAAGTCACTCACCTCATGATGCAAAAACACACACCTTGTGCAAAAACTCTCACCCTCACTGGAGATCCAAATGTGTTATTGAGCTGTGGACATAAAAAGGGCCACTAGGATGATGCACCTTCCTTTTCTACACACATGAAGCTAGGTTCCTTCATCAAAGGCAGCCTTGTTTCGCCCAATGATGAGTGTCTCACTAGGTCCTAGGCTGCAGTCTTTCCCAGCAGTTGCTGGAATATCAGATTCTTATGCAAGTAGTCCTCGCTTACAGGCCACTTGTTCAGCAACCAAAGTTGTGGCAGTGCTGAATGAGTGGTACTTAAGACCAGTCATCAAAGTTCCAGTGGTTGCAGCTCCCCCATGGACACGTGATCGCAATTCGGGTGCTTGGCAACCAGCTCACACAATGGTTGCAACGTCCCACAGTCATGAGATTGCCATTTGCAACCTTCCCTGCCGGTTTCCCACAAGCAAAATGAATGGGGAAGCCAGCAAAGAAGGTTGCAAGTCGCTCTGGTAAGTCCCCTTGGCCTTTCTGCACTCGTGCCCCACTGCACCATCCATCACTTGGCCTTCCTGCACCTCCCAAGCCCTCTTCTGGCCTCCCCCAACTCACATGCATCTTGCGCTGGCCCTCCCAGGGTTTCCCCTGGCCTCTCCCACCCCCCATGTCACCCCCATGTTCCTTACCTGGGATTCCCACCACTTCCTACTTAATGATGTGCACATCTTGGGATTACGACAGCAACTGGGACTGCCTGGATTGTCGTCGCTAAGCAATGCGGTCACGTGACATTGCACTTTCTGGCTGTATCACATAGCGATGGCAGTCCTAGTCCCTATTGCCATCATAATCCAAGGACTACCTGTGCTTGGGGATGCTGTGGGATGAAACCTGTGATTTCAAGATGCAGAACACCTCTACTATAGAGCTATAGTTCCTTCCTACAGCTGATTATAACTAAGCAACTGTACTCAGTAGTGCAATTAAGGTGGATCTCAGAGCCAAAATCCATGGCTCTGGATGGTCTGTAGAGAGTCAGGTGACGAGCAGCAAACAAGCTCAGCATCCATTCCTATTCTGACATGGGAATGCCAGCAACACTATTTTTTAAAAACTTGTACATTTATATAGGGGTGAGCAGCTGGCTGGACATGTGTGCAGCTACCATTGCTATTATTTTTTATTTCAAAAACAATTATACTGTTCTTCAATGAAATGGAGTTTAAGTCCAAAAATTGCATGCAAGGGACCAGGAAGTGGGCCCGTAAATGCAGATTAAAATTTCAGGGCTGCACCTCTGCCTGGACCTTTAGGACTAGGCTGTTGACCAGACCAAGGAGGTGGCAGGTCCAGCCCTGTAAAATGAAGCCTGGGCTATGGTTTGGCACCTGAGCCATCTGACTGCCTGGAAGCTGGATAGACTTCCATATCAACTTTCACTGGAAAGGTTTCACTTGTTAGAGCTTCCCATTGGACTCTGGCATGGAAAATGCGGAGGCAGCAATGGGCATGCCAAAAGGGGACAGGGCAGTGGCTGCAAAAACCTGCTTGAAAGAGCTGGGCAGAAGACAGGAAGCCTCCAGCATGGACGATCTGTAAGGAACAAATTGTTCACCTCACCTCTCCTTTCCCAAACCATCATGCATTATGTTCCTGAGTCTAAACAACAGCAGCTTCTCAGGGGCATCCTAAAATCCTTCGTAAAATAAAGCAGTGCCATAAAATGCAACAATTTTAAAATAATTCGGCCTCTGCCTCAGTTAAGAAATGCTAAACTCTGAACCTGATGTTTTTACAGCCTCCTTTTTAATGCCACTGCTATATTTGGGGGCTCTCTTGTTCATTCTTCCAGCGGTGTTTTCCTCCAAAATCCTGTTCAAATGGCACCATTGCAACCCCCTTTTAACATTTCCTACCCCCGCCATCCTTCAACCTGCTTGTTTTTTTGTTGTGGTGGCTGAGGTGCTGGGCTGGAAAGTGGGAGATTGTGAGTTCTAGTCCCGCCTTAGGGATGAAAAACCGGTTGGGTGACTTTGGGCCAGCCACTCTCTCAGACCAATCCACCTCACAGGGTTGCGGTTGTGAGGAAAATAGGAAGTAGGAGAATGGTGTACACTGCCTTTTGTTATACAAATAAAAGTGGGATACAAATCTAATAATACATAAAAAAAACCCCATGATGCTGTTTCAAGAAAAGACACACTCCAACGGACAAATTTGTTAACACTCTCGCTGGTGGGTTAGTCATGACAGAAATGGTGAAAAGAGAGTGACACGTTACCTCCCTATTTCATTTTCTTGATAGGATTTTTGGGTCTTCAGCAGATGTAGAACAGACAGCCATTGACAAGGTGCAACTTTCTCCAAATAGTGATATCAGTGCTGATTATTTATTTATTGTTGCACTTATGGTCCACCTTTCCTTTCAGTGCATAAGCTAGTTACATGGAGCGCATTTCCTCTCATTTGCTTCTGAGGACAATCTTGTACATACCTGTAAAATTGAGAAGAGTTTCACTGTGGGGAAGAAAAAGGAGGCGGGGGGAGGAGAATAAGGAAGGACTATATGAAAGAGCATTTTGGAAATAAATGACAGACTGAGGACATTTATAACACGTGTTTTTTTTAATGTGGCTATGCCACTTTGGACTAAGCATAGCTATGAGTTCCATGTGGTTTACATGAAATAAATGTGGCAAAGTTTGTAACAGGTAAACCTCTGAAAAAAAATTGCATTAAAGATTCCTGAGGGTAAAATACACTCTTGAGCTATGTTAGCATTAAATACTACATACTGTTCTTACATCTCATAGTCTGCGATTCTCAGTGTTTTCCTTTTTTCTCTCTCTTCATACCCACTATCTATCAAACTGAGGCTGACACATCAGGCATGGGTTCTGATGCATGAAAGTAGACCTTGTAACAGGCAATGCTACATTATCCATTTTGGAATCCTTTTCCAGTAAGTGTGTGTGTGTGTGTGTGGGCACTTTCAGCCTAATCAAGCCTATTACAATTGGTGGGAGAGACAGGGATTTGGTACAAAGTTTGGCCCCACATGAACTGCATAATATAAAATATTATATTTTATATTATATTTTATATTATATAATTATATATATAATGTATATAATATAAAAATATGTTCAAATAGACACAAATCAGTTAATTTCAGTTGCTGTTTCAAAATGTCCACAGAGTATGGCCAAAAAAGGAAGGAAGGAAGGAAGGAAGGAAGGAAGGAAGGAAGGAAGGAAGGAAGGAAGGAAGGAAGGGGATTTCTGACGCTCTTTGCCAGCCCACCACAAGCAAAGTCAATGGGGAAGCCAGCAACATGTTGCAAATCGCTCACACTCCCACTGTTTTTTTTGCCCTTGGTCATTCTGTTTATTTCAGTAAGGAAATATCTCTGAAATGATGACCCAACGGGTCACGAGTTGTCTAATTTCTTCATATAATTTTTTAAAACCACGTTTGATTAAAAACAGTCCCAGTACTTGTCTAATAAATGAATAAATTCCTGCTTCACAAATATAATGGTTTCCAAATGGATAAGGCCTGTACAGTCCTGAACACATGAAGAAATATCATTACACTGCATAACAGGAAAATATTGGGATCAGTTTGCTGCTGTTGCTAGAGGAGTGGGTTTTACTTTTCTGTTCAAATGCCCGGAGGTGCATGCTAGACCTCTGGGAAGATTTTTAGCCTCTGAAGGAGAAAAAAAATGGAAAAGAGTTTGGACTGTTCACTGTGGCACAGAGCAGTGTTTCTCAACTTA